GTTATTTCTACATTTCTAACCCCTAATTGCACAATGTCAATCTTCTTAGCTATCATGATGCTACTTTGTTTGTTTTATCCATCCCCCTGTTTATTATGGCATTCTAATTCCTAATTTTAATTTTTACTAATTTGACCCTTGACCGGATATTATTCTGGAACTTTCCCATCCATTTGATATAAATACACGAATGTACAGCTAACTAGTTGATGACTTCGTGGAAAAGAAAATTTTCTTCGCTGCATTTGTCTTCTTAATGATTTATTTATTTTTTATTTTATTTTTTATTTTTGATTACAGCTTGATTCCACACTGTATTTTTGGTACAAGTATGGAATTTTCAGCGTGAATATCGGTAGCCCAAATTTTGCAGGCCGACCATAGATATCAGTTGTGCGTCGGCGAGGGCTCGAACCCCGGACCATGTGCATGGTCGGCGAGAGTCCTAACCACTGTGCAAAACTGCTGATTATTCTAACTACACATTTATTCAGCCACATTGAAAGGTATTCTTGAGCATGAAACATAAGGTTTCTAGAGCTACGGTCACTATAACTGGCTTCACAGGAGAGGTTGAATTGATAGATAGAATAAGAGGTGGCTAGCCTAAGTATTCGTCATCTTTGACATGGGGAATCACAACCCCGATCGTGTTGAAAATATGGGTTGAAGCTCACTGGCAGTAGAAATCTCCTTCGAATGGACATATATCAGATCGAGTTTTAATCCAGGCTTATATTGTAAAAATACTAATAAAACCATGGGATTTAAGAACGTTGTGATTGGTCGACAGACTTTAGCCTACTCTCCCTCTATTTTAATTTATGATTGGACGATTAATTAATAATACAAAGAATTGAAACACGTGATATAAATCATTATTTCTAATGCTTCGTAGACTAGATGAACATTAGTATGTATGTTGCTTTGTCTATCAGACATATGATAGACATTGATAGATAGATAGACAGACAGACAAACAACCTAGAAACTATTATGTAAAGGCTATTTTGTCTGTTAAAAATAAAAACCACATTTAACATACTTTTAAGTGGCCTGGATGCAAATATAGAATCACATGACATAATTGTCTGATAAGGTTAAAGTAGACAGGAAAACAGAATTAAGCGTTTTTAATATGCGACTAGTATTTTCCTTCTTCTGATTATCTCACTGTTCTACTTGATCTGATTTTTCAACAGAGATATTTTTACAAAATAAAACAGGTACACCTTTAGAAATGTGGTGGAACAAGCCATCGTCTTTATCACTAAGTATTGTTGGCCTATATAGGATTAGATTGGAAAAAAGTTAGTGGTAGTCAAATTGACAACTGGCATCAATACGCGAAGACTTTGATAGTTGGTTTGACCCAGCTACATACGAAGGTGTAGACTGCCTAGTTCGGATCCACTGGTTACAGAGTGTTGGTGATATGGCTCAAAACCGTTCTCAGTGAAGTTAAACTATTACAACCACCCAAATCGATTCTACGGCAAACCCTGGGCAACTAATTAAAATTAAGGAGCAACAAAAATGGGAAATCTGTTAGAAAAATTTACTATGTATCATATAATGATCTGGGAGATCCGTGTATATTTCTGATTCTGATCTTTAATCTACTGAAAAATCTCAATCCTTCAAAAAAAGCCAGTTATTGGATCAAGCTTCCTCCATATATTCATGTTGTTTCATTTTTTTTCTTTTTTTTCCCTCACGTTCCCAGTGGAACATAGGGCTTCAAGCTAGTGGCTTGAAGTTTCTCTAGCAGTGTTTATTTTCACAGGATGAGGTTGCTAGCCTCATGCCCAACCTTTCCTCTTTACTAGAATTGTTTCTGGCTTAGCGAGGTAAAGGAGTGCGTTGGCGGCCGGAGATCGAACCCCGACAAAGCAATCAAAAACACCCAGACTTTTTGGAACTGGAGGCATAATTTGTTTTGTTCATACAACCTGGAACTCTAATAGGTTGTCTGAAGTTATGTACTGGAGTAACTGTCATAGATTTTAACTTCGCTCCGCTCTCAATGGTGAAGGTGCATTCACTTTTTATGAACTTTTAGGTCCATCAAAATCTTATTATTCGCCATATAATTATTCTTTCTTAAGTATATTTCCGTTCATTATGATCTTTTAGTTTTTCTTTTTTTTCTCTGTCTTTACCTTTGCTTTCACAGAGTGTAGTCACTTGAAGTGCTGCATTTTTATGTAAAATTCTACACTGACAGTTCAGTATGCGTATTCATTCCACATGTACAAAGACCACGTACAGATAAATATGACTTGGCGAAATAGCGTTTAACCTTACCACGTATTGTGCTTTAGTGATACAGTGCTAGAATAGTCACCAACGAGGTACCTAGTCCGATGTACGACTGTCAGCCCAGGCGCTTCTAAATCTCACAGGTGGCAGTAAACTCGATATAGAGGGAAGGTTGAGAAGTGAGGCTAACAACTCCACACTGTTAAAACATAAACAATATCGCTGTTGAAACTTCAAAGCTGAAAGTCAAAGTGCTGCGCTCCACTCGAAACGCAAAGAAATAAAAAACTCCTATTCTGGATTGTGAGTCACTATGTGGTTTCCTATGTCAGTGTAAGTGAAGAGATATTTAAACCCCGAGAATATTACTTAAACATCTTGTGTGTCAACAGAGAATCCAAGCCCCCGAAATTCAGTAGCTGATATTTCAAGTCTTATCAGTAGCTGACTTCAGTCAAAGAACCACTGGAAATCAGGTAGTACTGGACAGCCGTTTGGTCCCAGGTTGTGACTTTTCATCACTACACGCAGATGAACCCACCAGGAATTGAACTCAGAACCTTCAGGTTACAAGGCTAGCCTCTTACCATGTCAGGTATGAGGAGAAGTACCCACTAGCAACATAGACAGGTTGTGGCGCTGTATATTACAAATTGGCGAAAGTTATAATTCATGAGCCACTGGATTCCGTCCCACTGCTTGAATAGTCAACAGGCTGGTCTTTCAATCTAAAGTTTCTGGGTCCGATCCCTAGTGTGTACTATCGGAAAGCCCCAAAATAGGACGAAACAGCTATCCAGTACTCCCCACTCTTCTATAATTCTTTAACTCAAGTTAATTCCTGATCCTCGACCCAAAAGTTGATACTTCCTAAGATTTTAATTCCATTTTAATCTGTTTTTCTTTGATATTAATCAAACTATTACTGTACTAACTTCTAAAGTAGTCATTCTAATACAAACTTAAATGAAAGTAGAAAGCAGAGCTCTAAACAGTGACAAGTAATTCGTTAATAATGAAACACATGTACAATTAAATGGATATCAAGATTTTGTCTATAGTGAACTTGTTGATGGAATGGTCTGTCCATTCTTTTCCTTAATAAAATTAAAATAACCAACGAACATTATCGAAATCAGTAGCTAACTAACTGGCTTATCAATGCAAAACGTTTGCACAAAATCACTTCAGTTTGTCACATTACAGAAAAACATTCATAAAAGTGGAAGAGAGGAATATCACGGATGCATAATACTCACCGATGACATTGATTGGCAGTGGTGCTAAAACTCGCCACTTGATAGAAGTTAGGACTCATCAACCAGTCATTGGATTTCTTCCCAATGGCCGAATGATATCAACGAGCTTGCCTTATAACCTGAAGGTCTTGAATTCGAATACCCCGTAGAGTGGTGAGGATGCACTACTGAAGAGACCCTAACCAAGACGAAGCAGACTTCTAGTACTTCCTCGTGTTTCAATAATTCTCTAACTGATATCGATGCGTGATCTAACTTGAAACAAATCAAATCCCTACAAACTAACATTTGAAAATGTAATGACACTAAAATGGATGGTAAAAAGAATAACAACATAAAGAGTAATGGGGATTGTTTAGAATCTGAATAGTAACAGGGAAGGAATGCATCTGTGTCATTAAGAAAAAAAGCAATTTTGTTGAAGCTGAAGCATACGAACAAAAAAAGATGCAAAATACAGTAGTGGGTGTTTACTGATGGCAAACATTATTCGCATCATTCACTTTTCCATGTACAAACAATGCTTAACTTGGACGTTGTTTTTACAGACTATGTGAGACATTATGTACACTGCACACGTGTTATCCCATATTATGAATGAAAGGAAGTAGGAATTCATACATCTGTCTTAGTTAATCTTACTTTCCCTATTGACTGGTTGAACATAAGGTGGCTGTCATCTCCCAATTGGTTTAATTCGAAACGATGGGTGCTGAGTTGAAATATCAGTGAGAACAACACCACTCACCGGGGAATGTGGACTCATCCAGCCGATAAGTCTCAAGAAATGCAGATCCCAGATTCCACTGCTAGTAACCACCAACCAAATAAAGATTTACATATGTTTATTTGTGTTATTTTAATGAATTTAACGTTAGCTATATACACATATAAAGTTTTGATTCGATACTCATTGAGAGAGAGAAAGCTTTCTGAAAGATAGGTATACAGTTACCTCAAACATCTTAATCATTATAAAATCAATATCTGGACTTTTATCACTGATTTCTATCTTATATTATGCGGAAGTGTTTCCTCACATAAAGGTTTCAACTAGTTAGCTATTTTGTATCTGACTGTTTGTTATACAACTATTAATTCGTTAAATAACCCCTCAATTCATCTTTCCGAAACACTACAATGAACAACATTTCATCAGGCGGTAAAAAAGCTACCAGACAACTAGCAATTAGGATAAGCAACTTATTTTGATACGAAATTCAAAGTAAGCCAACAGTGGTATTAGCATTCAATATTCATACAAGTAAACAAACATACAGTCCTTAAGTCCACTGTCAAATTAAAATAAAATCAACGGCGACAAATAAACTAGTCACCAAAAGATAAAAAATTGTCCGAGTTAGTCAGTATTGCCACTACTAATGTCGGGGAAAAAAACTAAAACTGGTTATACTTCAGAGAAATTTAATTAAATGCTGATCAAAATGATGGGGAAATGGAAGACTGTTTCACACCTACCTTCTTCACTAGTTCTCATAGGACTTGTAGATACAACCATAGACTTGTAATTGACTTCAGTAATCTGGCTATCATTATTAGAATCTGTGGGAATACTTTCTTCACCTTCTCCACTACTGGTCATTATCTAAAATTAAACATATTGGTGTAAAGATCCAATAAATAGTGTTAAAATTAATATGTGAATCTTCTCCCAAACCATACATTGTGGTTATATTCGTACAATGAAAAATTGAAACCCTGAGTAAGTAATCCCTTAATTCATAAAAATTAAAAGTTTACTGTGTAGAACTATGAAATTAGATAAGTATTAAAGAAGAATATTTCTGAACATTTTTACTGCGTCACTTCTCTCTATATCCTCTATTTAGAGACAAATGAGACAATCAGGAGGACCGATAGATAGAAGAACTTTAAATAAGCTTTCGTTGATAAATCGAGATAGGTTTATAGCACTGAAATAAGGTTTATCATTTTGCATCACTTGATACATTATCAAGATACATTTTTCACATAGGGTAGGGTGTTCCAATTTTGCTATGCGGTTAGTTGTTAACAGTGGGGATAAAAGTACACGAAAAGGCAGTGTTATTTTATTATTTCGTTTGGTATGACTTCCGATGCTCATAGTACACTGAGTTTGCCACTCAATAAGTAATTAATAACAGGTGACTCACATAACCTCGGAAACTACCCAACATATCATGGCTGTGCAATATGTCAACCGGTTCTGGTGGTTAGGCTGATATTTGTTTCCAAGGCTCATGAAATTCAGTTTTTAAAAGCAACCGAAAAGATGGTCATAATAACGAATGACATAAAAATACAGTCTAATGCATGACAGGACCTGGATGCAACCTCGACGGATACTTTGAAACTTGGTTATGCATGTGCAAACATAATGAGCACTGTAGTATGGTAGACTTCAGCCTTACCTAAGTTTTAAATAAAAGGGAAATCGGAAGTCAACACACTAGGAACCAAAAATAGGCAAAAAGAATCTACAAAACTCTACCGACTGACTAGTTGGGGTCCTTGAGTTATCAAGAATAACTGAATATGGTACTTTGCAACACCACCTGGAACTATCTATATGGAAGTTAGTGTAATGAGTGCTCGTCATTTTAGAGATACTGGGAACATTCACCAGCCAAGATATCTCCGGTCACTGTAGGATCACTACATTTCGTTCTCTTATTTATATGCACACGTTCTGGAAGCGTGGCAGATTTAACTTATACACTTCTGTGCAACGCATTAAGTTGTTAAATCTGTCAAACAGTTTGCAAATCCCTGGCAATCGGATTGATTTTACTGTATGACCACTCAGATTAAAATGCACATACAATTAATTATAAATCTTAACCCTTCAAAATAACCTTTATCGGAGCTGATCTTATCAAAAACCTCCAACAAATGTAATCACCAATACTACAAAAAAGAAGAAGAACTAGATTTGTTTTTTCTTTCTCCGATGTTCCCAATCAGAGTGTACATACTACCTTATGAGAGATAAAGAAACGGAAAAGGAAGTTACTATCTAGCCATTCAGTGCGAATTCAATGGTTTTAATTCTATAAACTCGCTATGTAGGATCGCTGCTTTACACAGTAACAGGCAGTTAAACGCTTCTACAAGTGAGTTAACGAACTTCAAGTCACAACTTCTCAGAACTCCAGGAAATTTATCTCAATACTGGTTAATTATTCAACTCTTACTTTCAAAGGACACATTAGTAAATTAGGTCTACCATAGCAACTGGTAATACCAGTGCTAATTGGTTTAAAAAGTTACTTATCTTCATGAGTCAAAAACCATCATTCATAGTTTAAAATTTGTGGGTCCATAAAGTCCCTTCAGTGACTACATTTTTACGAGACGTATCTCCCATAGAAAACGCGGACAAGATTTTTTGTGTGGAAAAAGAAAGATTCCTGGATTTAAGAATAAATAATTAACCCACCATCAAAGTGTATGAAAGCTCACTAAATGTCAAAACACAGTAGTAAGTAAAAAATATTAGAAACTGTACAGGTCTTGCACATTTGAAAATTTACAATTCCAGTCAGTCGAGTCAAACCACACTCAAATATAATAATAGGAAATGACCAAACTTGGACATGTGAAATATTTTACTAATGAGCTATCAAGTTGAAAGTAATTGAAATGGATAAGAACTAGTGGTAGTGTATGCTATGTTTCAGTTTGTTTGATACTTGAAGCTGTATGATAAATTTACAACAAATATTCCAGCATTCATACATGATCTAGTTAATGATTTTCATGGGCCAGAATTACTTAATTTCTAAACAGATACATTATAGGAACAAGGGACTTTAAGCCTATTTTTCTTCGACTGAAGTTTGACTAGATAGTTTTAACAATAGCTCTTGGGACAAAACCAACAGGTCCGACGACCTGGTAAGGATGTTAATATTTGTGACTGTACGTAAACACCTATGAGTATCATAACAGAACACAACGTTGCACAAACTGTTTGGTTAGTCTCAGATTAATCTGAAATATATATGTAATAGAAATTTCTATTGCGATTATAATCTCAACTAAACCATAGTTTAGAAGTCTGTATTTTATAGATGTAAATGCTAAGAATGTGCTGAGCACAATTTTTCATCAACTAATCTTTTATTTTGCTTATTTACAGGATGCTACCAGTAGATCTCACTTGACGGAATTATGGTGACATTGTACTACATTTTATAAATACAAAAATCTCAATTATAAAATCTGATTTCTTTCTGTAAACTAAATGGATTGCGCCAGCGTAGGACACAGGTGATTATGATAAGTAGCAGTCTTTTCGTTCTAAGGTAACGGTAGTCAGTGCTAAAAATGATCTGAAAAGGCTGAAATAAAGCTGATAAGCTAACCTGGTAGGTTCTGATCTACCCCTGAAAGGTCTAAAAAAAGAACACGGCGCTGAATTAGTGCCAGTCATGATGAAAACCAGCACTGAGTTCTAGTCTTTGCCATTAAACAATCCATTTCAGAACAGATTCAGAATTTACTCACTAAAGGATGCTAGAATTATTTCAGAATTACAGAGATTTAATTCAGCATTATATATTTAACTTAAGTAAAAGTTCTGAAAACACATTCAGAGTTCTGAAACAGATTAAAATCCCCCATTAAACGCAATATAGCAACCAGAACAAGTGAAACTTACAATTAACTTGTGACAAAGCTAAATAAACACCAACTACTAAACCTGAAATAATCCAGACAAGACAACCTTCAAAAAATGACCGTACGATATCAGCAACCACAAAGCCTTCGTCGTGATTGGTCAGAATGATCAGAAGGTGATAAGTTGATTTAACATTAGAGTAGTAAAAGTGCAATCAAAGCTAAACATACCTACTTATATTGAAAAAACTGGGTTGCCTACTGTTGACTGCGGAATCTACAAATAGTTAACAGCACCTAAATTCACAGACTTAGCTCTCCTGGTTTTCTAGCTGGCCGCAAGCCCGGGTTAAGAGAGAGAGGGTTGGGCGTGGGACTAGCGACCCTACACAGCAAAATCAGTTTAAACTGATACAGAATTTTCAACGCACCACAAATACGGTAAAAATAAAAAAAGAGAAAAGAAAAATTATCCTTCGCTAGGATCGGAGAGGTGAAATGACGAGGACTGGCGAAAGCCTTCAGGAAACAAGTCAGCCGAGGTGACTTCTCTCGATGAGAGCAATTTAAATTACTTTAAGGTTCCGATTTTACAAACGTGACTTAGGTTCATACGTGAAAGAACGTTATTATCTTAGTTGGAATAAAGATAAGTTGTTCAGAAGATATGAAAGACTTTATTTATCAGCTTACTAGTATAAATAATATCGCACATAGAGTTGCATTGTAATCCCAGATGAAGCAAAAGATTATGAATGCCTTGCCCCTCTCTTCAGCGTCAGATAATTAATAACACATGAATTACTAAAAAATAGCTCTCTATATGAGGTTCCGTAAGGGCGAATAGAAGTTTCTTCACCTCATTGTTATGAGTTAATTTGTGAACCGTGTTGGCCCTGAGAGTAATACACTTGGCATGGAAAATTCATAGTGAAATAAGAAGTGTATATGTTTCGCTAAATCTTATGCACTCCTCGTATAGATTAAACGTTCTTCAACTGGTCATTTAACAACTGATGAATGTTGCAACCGAGGTAAAATTACAACTAGTGATTCCAAGATTTGTCATTCATTCTGTACTTACGCGGTACGTTCGAATCTGGTGAAACTTTTGCACGTGTTTTCGCTGATATTCATTTTTCTGTTCTGCTATATTATCACCAATAATAATGGGCAAAAGCTATAAAAAACATGTTCTTAGAAACACTAGTAATTTAGAAAATAGCTTAAGCTTATCGAGTAACGCATTATCACCCCTTAAATCAGCTGCAGTTAGTAGTTCACTCAATATAAACGGTTCCAACATAATGCTAACCCCTGTAATTCAGGTGGAAGATATCCTGTCAGAAAAAGCAGAGATTACTAACTTAGTCTGCATCATAAATGACATGCAGCTACAAATAAATGAACTCAGGACGAAACTAAATCAACTTGACCTGGTACCAGAAACAATCCTCCATCTCAAAAAGGAACTGGGGGATCTCACTTTCCTAAAACTCTTTAAGCTCAGGACTAAACCAACCGATGCTGAATTGGAACATGCTAAGGAGCTAGAAAACGTTATGGACTATTTGTCGAGCGAAGTTGTTAAGAGACTTGCTTCTAAACAGAACGCCATAGTGTACAACATACCTGACAAAGAGCCCATAAAATCGGTTCAGCACTCCTTGTTAAGAGCTGCCAACCTTCTAAGTACACCCTGTCAGTGTATTAGACTAAATAAAAAAAGACAAACCGCACATGTCCCATACTTTTCAGGTTTGACAGCTGTATTATAGCCGAACAATTCAGGAAATCTGAGGATATTTTGGCTTCCACTACAAAATTCAAAAATCTTAAAATAGTCCCGGACAAAACCCCCAACCAACGACAAGTAGCTAAGAACACCGTATATACAAACACGATTATACCACAAATCGTGAATAGCGTCAGTACCGAAGTGTCAAAGGACACTGTAGCACAAAGTGACACTTGCACTGTAGTAGGTGAACAAACGACACGCGAAGGCAAAGGGAAACCCAAAAAGAGCAGTAACACTGTAATGGGTCTCGAAGTTCGTGAGAACACTCCTAGTAAATCTACTGACCACACCCATGAAGTAGATGTAGATGCTCCTACTACCGATAACCTGCAAATATCGGCAGATCACACTGCACCCAGGGCCAAACAAGATAATCCCACTGTAAAAGCCGTAAAGAAGTCCCCTAAAACCAAGGTTTCTCCTCATGCATCCATATACCTCCCTTGTGACAAGCCCAACAAGCAGCATATAAGCCTAAAAAAGAACTATGCACGCATTGCGGCAGGTCCCATAAAGGAGACGGAAGACGTGAATGGAAGTGCTCCTCGTCGAACTAAGAGTAGTAGACGAATTGAGGACGACAGACTGCACAAGGTGAGAACTAACGGCAAAAATAGCTCTACCCACACAAAATCACACGCCAGCAGATATGCAAGGGGCACCGAGCTGATCAAACAGCAGAGTGATACCCACGATTTCCGCAATAGCCGAGGTTGTAATATGCCTGTAGGCACATATAACCTGAGGACGGGACCCATAATCAATAATGAAAATACATGGGCTACTAGACGGGACACCACTAGGTACCATATCAACGGAAATGTATACTCGAACCCTCGGCATAACGGGTATAGATTGGCCCCTGGTCCTTCTAGGTACACTCACGAGATGAGTCAGCAAATGTACAACTACGTAAAACCTAGCACGCACTATCCTCAAAACAACCTAAAAACAGGGTACTATGGCCCTGTAAATTACAATGTGAACAGTGAAACAGACTATTTTATGCAGAGAAATGATCCTAGATACCCACGTAATGAGGCCAGAAACGATTATATGCAACAGGATTATTTTCGGTTGCAGCAAACAATAGCCCCTCGCAGCACAATTTGTCCAGGGAATAGTAAACACGCTGACAATGTCTCATATGAGGATCCCTCCGAACATAGGCAACCAGGAGTTAGGGATAGTAACAAGAAAACCTACTAACTATCCCAACAACCCTGGTTTTCTGAAAATTATGCTTTTAAATGCTCGATCTCTCCTTAACAAAATAACTTCCCTTCGCAGCTTGGTATACATGGAGCGGCCTACACTGATTCTGGTAACTGAAACTTGGCTTACTACTGATATACCTGACACAAAGCTGATAATTGATAACTATAACATCCACAGGAATGACAGAGTAGACAAGAGAGGAGGCGGCTGTCTAATATATGCCTCTAAATCCACTAACTCCAATACCTTTACAAACCTAACTATCGACAAACTCCCAGAATCCAAGTGGATAAGCATCCACGCGAATGAAAATAACATTCTTGTGGGATGTATATACAGAGCCCCTAACAGCCCTATAACGACTGATACGGTTATCGGAGAAATACTAGAGGTTGTACCTAAGCTGGAATTCGACTACAAACTAGTTTGTGGCGATTTCAACCTCCCTGGAGTGAACTGGGATACCTGCACTGGACCGAGAACCTACGAGGTGATCCTAGAAGCCATAGATGTAGGAGGATGGAAGCAGTGCGTACGCCTCCCAACACGACACAACAATATTCTCGACTTAATCCTCTGCCACAAAATAGAGCCGATCTCGATAGAGGTGGGGGATAAACTCGACAACAGTGACCACAAAATACTGTACTGCACCCTACCCTTACAACTAACAGCTAAACACACACCTAAGAGTTCCCCGGTTTACTATCAATATAGGGACTATCGAAATGCCGACTGGGAATTCCTACCAACGCTCTTGAGAAGCTCAGACTGGGGTGAATACTTCACCAATAATAACTTAGAAGTAATACTAAATACCTTCTACAAGACAATCAGTTCGGTAAGAGACACAATCGCACCCCTGAAATCTTCCCTAAAGACACCAACTCTAATCATAGACCGCTAAACGCGAATAAAGCTAAGGAAAATAAAAAGTAAATTTTATTTATACAAAGAATTTAGCGCATTACACCAGATACACGAAACATTTAAAAATTTGGGTGAGAGACATAAAATGAAGGCACAAGTCACAATCACCCAAATGTCAACAAATGACATTAGTATTTTTCATCTAGTTCTTGTCTAAATGAAAAAAGAGTTATCTCACACCAATTTCTTCTCTTACCCGAGGTAACTTTTACAGTATTTTCTCTCGTCGTATCTCATGAGTTAGTTTATTTTGTCCGATAGCCTAAATACTAAGTCGAAACACGTCTGATGAAATTTTTTGCCTATGGCCAACTGAAAATAATATTTTCAAGTGTTAAATGTTACAACTCGAACTGCTTCACCTCTGTGCTGAGTTCTATGTTAAAACTCAGTCAGCATTTGTCGCTGCAGCTGCCTAATGTCAAAATTGACTACAGTATTAATTGTTTTAAACAGTTAATAATGCAATTTTCAATTCCTTAAATTTTCCAGCTAAAGTGCACTAAAAACCAAACCATGAACCAGTGGTCAGTAACACTTAGATAAGAAATGGTTCAAATAGGAGTGAACAAGATGAGTGATTTTCTCATACCTGTAGTATGCTTATCTGAAATGCTCATCTTATGCGCTGCGCGTCTCCTAATTATTTCATTTTTGTCTTCCTCATTGCCAGTTTTCAGTCTTTGCAGACATTTTACTTGATGTCATCATACAGTGTCTGCAAGCAGTCTTTCAATACATCTACCTCCCACAAAGCTGTTGTTCCAAAGCCCCGGGATTATTCACATCGGGCCGTAGTACAGTTAGTATGCTTATATTACTGATACAACGACATGCAAGACTTGTATATGTCGCTGTTGAGTTTGCCTGCAATAACATTTCCTAAATAGTAAATACAATGCTTGTGATAACAATTCGTCATAATCTTTTCATTACGTTGATAGGCGCGTATAAATTAGAAAAAAGTTAACCTTGTCGTATTAGTACCCGAAAATACCTCCACTACATGCCCATTGCAAAATGCCACTAGTGATTGACGAAATAATTTTTACTGCATTACCAAATATGGATTAGTGAAATAGAAGGCTCATGAAGTTTAGACGTTTATGTGTATTCGCACCTGCTGACACATTACAAATATATATGTTTCATATTCAAACAAGAAAACTCTTAAGGTAATGTAGATCTGATCTCAGTGAGTTAATAGTGCATTCATCGCTATATACATCTTGCACAAGCGAGATGCTTTATTTCAATCATTAGAGAAGCTGCAATATCTCTCTGCAGGGTATATCCACTGGTTCTTCACAGGGCACAATACTTGGTGTTGACAGATCCAGCCAAAAGCATCTTTGACGCAGTCGAATTACTCTTTCAACTAAAAGCTATTATACTGATGCAATTAAAAGTGTGATCTGCCTATAATCTGAGAGATTATATTGTAACACAGCAACACATTTCCGCAGGGTATTCTTTGTGCTGTAAAACTCCTGTTGGTACAAGTCGAATTTAGGAACTGAGATCTCGTGAAATATGGAAGTGTCCATTTGAGTCATGTAAACGAAATGCTGGCGAAATGCGATACCTTACGCAGACGCACATGAAGAGATGCAGGCATTTGTTACTTCACGTGAATAATGGGCCATATCGAGAAGACATTTGTTTCGATCGGCTGTCTGTTGTACGCTCAATTATTGTTTGTATATATGTAATGACTTGGTGCGTTTCCTAATTTGCTTAAAATTACGGAGCGTACATAATTTTATGAAACACCATAAGTGAATTTTCTCAAAACCACTGCTGTTTCCTCTCTAGTCTTCACTAGCGTCACATTGACAGACACGATTAGAGGAATATTTTTTATTGTTTTTGATTACAGCTTGATTCCACACCATATATTTAGGTAGAAGTATAGAGTTTTCAGCATGGATATCGGTAGCCCAAATTTTGCATGCCGACTATAGATATCAGGTGTGCGTCGGCAGGGGATCGAACCCCGCACCATGTGCATGATCGGCGAGAATCATGACCGCTGTGCCACTGACGCACAAAGCTCCTCCACTGGGAATCGTACCCGGGCCTTCCATGTGACAGGCAGAGATACCCACCACTATACTGTCGAGGAGCACATACTATCGAGGGGCTGTAACGTGGTGTTTTCTGTCATTTGCTAGTAAAATTAAGGCTTGAAATCATTTACCCCATATAACTATGGCGTGTACGGTATCGAATCTTATTCTTGATTCATATCCTCACTGGGTATTAATTCAAATAAGTGATATAATTTTATCAGCATATCATATCAGGTTGATATGATTATGAACAATAGGTTGTGCTTGAAACGGCGTCAGTTAATATTACTGTACAACACTGTGTGATTTATCAAAATAAACACTTATCCATAATGGAGTTATACTCTCCCACACTGCCCAAGTTTTATACGTATATCGATGTAGAAAGCTATTTGTAAACCATTTTAGATCATGGACACTGCTTGTATAGGATGTCATAGAGCGTCCTGATATGTTGACAGTGGATTTTTCAAGGATGTGTTATTATTAGCCAAAACTTTGTGTGGTGATATGGTATATATAAGTGGCTTCAAACCCCGGTTAACTTCAGTCTTACTGTGGATCTGTGCAGATTTAACTACAAAGCAAATAGAAGAGGACAGACGAGCTGAGAAGTACCGGAGAGAAAAGAAAAAGTACATGGACTCGAAAAGGACCTTACTTACGTGTTCATATTCGTTGTACATTGCCGTCTAGTAAACATATATATCTATTTGTACTTAGTCTTTTTATGCATCCATGAGATTAGTTTGTTTATCGTTTATACAGTAACCAGGGAAGTTTTACGCTTGCTTTGGATATTAGAGTATTACAGAAATTGATTCGTGCTAAAACTGAAAAGCTTGTTAATGTAATCACTATAGCGAAACGGTCTGTACAGAGAGCACTTGAAACTTATAACTGAGTTACAGGTTCTGACTTCTGGGGGCAGACTGTTCCATATTTTAGAATACATAAATGTGAGGATGTTTTCGTGGATTATTGATTTAAATGCTTTTATCGTCACTGTGCAAGGTTGGTTACGCCGATCGTAAGAGCCTTACTGTGGGAATTGTATGTCCTTATTGTCCGAGAATGATATTTTGTGTAGGACCTTAAAGAAGAATATTAGGTTTATAATAAGTCATCTCGTCCAATGTGGGTCAAGATGTAGTCTTTCCTACAATCATACCAAAGTAGTTTGGACGTGAAATATTTTTTTGATTTACAGCTTGATTCCACACTGTATTTTTGGTACAAGTATGGAATTTTCAGCATGGATATCGGTAGCCCAAATTTTGCATGCCGACTATAGATATCAGGTGTGCGTCGGCAGGGGATCGAACCCCGCACCATGTGCATGATCGGCGAGAATCATGACCGCTGTGCCACTGACGCACAAAGCTCCTCCACTGGGAATCGTACCCGGGCCTTCCATGTGACAGGCAGAGATACCCACCACTATACTGTCGAGGAGCACATACTATCGAGGGGCTGTAACGTGGTGTTTTCTGTCATTTGCTAGTAAAATTAAGGCTTGAAATCATTTACCCCATATAACTATGGCGTGTACGGTATCGAATCTTATTCTTGATTCATATCCTCACTGGGTATTAATTCAAATAAGTGATATAATTTTATCAGCATATCATATCAGGTTGATATGATTATGAACAATAGGTTGTGCTTGAAACGGCGTCAGTTAATATTACTGTACAACACTGTGTGATTTATCAAAATAAACACTTATCCATAATGGAGTTATACTCTCCCACACTGCCCAAGTTTTATACGTATATCGATGTAGAAAGCTATTTGTAAACCATTTTAGATCATGGACACTGCTTGTATAGGATGTCATAGAGCGTCCTGATATGTTGACAGTGGATTTTTCAAGGATGTGTTATTATTAGCCAAAACTTTGTGTGGTGATATGGTATATATAAGTGGCTTCAAACCCCGGTTAACTTCAGTCTTACTGTGGATCTGTGCAGATTTAACTACAAAGCAAATAGAAGAGGACAGACGAGCTGAGAAGTACCGGAGAGAAAAGAAAAAGTACATGGACTCGAAAAGGACCTTACTTACGTGTTCATATTCGTTGTACATTGCCGTCTAGTAAACATATATATCTATTTGTACTTAGTCTTTTTATGCATCCATGAGATTAGTTTGTTTATCGTTTATACAGTAACCAGGGAAGTTTTACGCTTGCTTTGGATATTAGAGTATTACAGAAATTGATTCGTGCTAAAACTGAAAAGCTTGTTAATGTAATCACTATAGCGAAACGGTCTGTACAGAGAGCACTTGAAACTTATAACTGAGTTACAGGTTCTGACTTCTGGGGGCAGACTGTTCCATATTTTAGAATACATAAATGTGAGGATGTTTTCGTGGATTATTGATTTAAATGCTTTTATCGTCACTGTGCAAGGTTGGTTACGCCGATCGTAAGAGCCTTACTGTTGGAATTGTATGTCCTTATTGTCCGAGAATGATATTTTGTGTAGGACCTTAAAGAAGAATATTAGGTTTATAATAAGTCATCTCGTCCAATGTGGGTCAAGATGTAGTCTTTCCTACAATCATACCAAAGTAGTTTGGACGTGAAATATTTTTTTGATTTACAGCTTGATTCCACACTGTATTTTTGGTACAAGTATGGAATTTTCAGCATGGATATCGGTAGCCCAAATTTTGCATGCCGACTATAGATATCAGGTGTGCGTCGGCAGGGGATCGAACCCCGCACCATGTGCATGATCGGCGAGAATCATGACCGCTGTGCCACTGACGCACAAAGCTCCTCCACTGGGAATCGTACCCGGGCCTTCCATGTGACAGGCAGAGATACCCACCACTATACTGTCGAGGAGCACATACTATCGAGGGGCTGTAACGTGGTGTTTTCTGTCATTTGCTAGTAAAATTAAGGCTTGAAATCATTTACCCCATATAACTATGGCGTGTACGGTATCGAATCTTATTCTTGATTCATATCCTCACTGGGTATTAATTCAAATAAGTGATATAATTTTATCAGCATATCATATCAGGTTGATATGATTATGAACAATAGGTTGTGCTTGAAACGGCGTCAGTTAATATTACTGTACAACACTGTGTGATTTATCAAAATAAACACTTATCCATAATGGAGTTATACTCTCCCACACTGCCCAAGTTTTATACGTATATCGATGTAGAAAGCTATTTGTAAACCATTTTAGATCATGGACACTGCTTGTATAGGATGTCATAGAGCGTCCTGATATGTTGACAGTGGATTTTTCAAGGATGTGTTATTATTAGCCAAAACTTTGTGTGGTGATATGGTATATATAAGTGGCTTCAAACCCCGGTTAACTTCAGTCTTACTGTGGATCTGTGCAGATTTAACTACAAAGCAAATAGAAGAGGACAGACGAGCTGAGAAGTACCGGAGAGAAAAGAAAAAGTACATGGACTCGAAAAGGACCTTACTTACGTGTTCATATTCGTTGTACATTGCCGTCTAGTAAACATATATATCTATTTGTACTTAGTCTTTTTATGCATCCATGAGATTAGTTTGTTTATCGTTTATACAGTAACCAGGGAAGTTTTACGCTTGCTTTGGATATTAGAGTATTCCAGAAATTGATTCGTGCTAAAACTGAATAGCTTGTTAATGTAATCACTATAGCGAAACGGTCTGTACAGAGAGCACTTGAAACTTATAACTGAGTTACAGGTTCTGACTTCTGGGGGCAGACTGTTCCATATTTTAGAATACATAAATGTGAGGATGTTTTCGTGGATTATTGATTTAAATGCTTTTATCGTCACTGTGCAAGGTTGGTTACGCCGATCGTAAGAGCCTTACTGTTGGAATTGTATGTCCTTATTGTCCGAGAATGATATTTTGTGTAGGACCTTAAAGAAGAATATTAGGTTTATAATAAGTCATCTCGTTCAATGTGGGTCAAGATGTAGTCTTTCCTACAATCATACCAAAGTAGTTTGGACGTGAAATATTTTTTTGATTTACAGCTTGATTCCACACTGTATTTTTGGTACAAGTATGGAATTTTCAGCATGGATATCGGTAGCCCAAATTTTGCATGCCGACTATAGATATCAGGTGTGCGTCGGCAGGGGATCGAACCCCGCACCATGTGCATGATCGGCGAGAATCATGACCGCTGTGCCACTGACGCACAAAGCTCCTCCACTGGGAATCGTACCCGGGCCTTCCATGTGACAGGCAGAGATACCCACCACTATACTGTCGAGGAGCACATACTATCGAGGGGCTGTAACGTGGTGTTTTCTGTCATTTGCTAGTAAAATTAAGGCTTGAAATCATTTACCCCATATAACTATGGCGTGTACGGTATCGAATCTTATTCTTGATTCATATCCTCACTGGGTATTAATTCAAATAAGTGATATAATTTTATCAGCATATCATATCAGGTTGATATGATTATGAACAATAGGTTGTGCTTGAAACGGCGTCAGTTAATATTACTGTACAACACTGTGTGATTTATCAAAATAAACACTTATCCATAATGGAGTTATACTCTCCCACACTGCCCAAGTTTTATACGTATATCGATGTAGAAAGCTATTTGTAAACCATTTTAGATCATGGACACTGCTTGTATAGGATGTCATAGAGCGTCCTGATATGTTGACAGTGGATTTTTCAAGGATGTGTTATTATTAGCCAAAACTTTGTGTGGTGATATGGTATATATAAGTGGCTTCAAACCCCGGTTAACTTCAGTCTTACTGTGGATCTGTGCAGATTTAACTACAAAGCAAATAGAAGAGGACAGACGAGCTGAGAAGTACCGGAGAGAAAAGAAAAAGTACATGGACTCGAAAAGGACCTTACTTACGTGTTCATATTCGTTGTACATTGCCGTCTAGTAAACATATATATCTATTTGTACTTAGTCTTTTTATGCATCCATGAGATTAGTTTGTTTATCGTTTATACAGTAACCAGGGAAGTTTTACGCTTGCTTTGGATATTAGAGTATTACAGAAATTGATTCGTGCTAAAACTGAAAAGCTTGTTAATGTAATCACTATAGCGAAACGGTCTGTACAGAGAGCACTTGAAACTTATAACTGAGTTACAGGTTCTGACTTCTGGGGCAGACTGTTCCATATTTTAGAATACATAAATGTGAGGATGTTTTCGTGGATTATTGATTTAAATGCTTTTATCGTCACTGTGCAAGGTTGGTTACGCCGATCGTAAGAGCCTTACTGTGGGAATTGTATGTCCTTATTGTCCGAGAATGATATTTTGTGTAGGACCTTAAAGAAGAATATTAGGTTTATAATAAGTCATCTCGTCCAATGTGGGTCAAGATGTAGTCTTTCCTACAATCATACCAAAGTAGTTTGGACGTGAAATATTTTTTTGATTTACAGCTTGATTCCACACTGTATTTTTGGTACAAGTATGGAATTTTCAGCATGGATATCGGTAGCCCAAATTTTGCATGCCGACTATAGATATCAGGTGTGCGTCGGCAGGGGATCGAACCCCGCACCATGTGCATGATCGGCGAGAATCATGACCGCTGTGCCACTGACGCACAAAGCTCCTCCACTGGGAATCGTACCCGGGCCTTCCATGTGACAGGCAGAGATACCCACCACTATACTGTCGAGGAGCACATACTATCGAGGGGCTGTAACG